TTATCGATAGGAAATTATTGAGAATGTGCTTTCAGTAAAGCTCATTCTTGAAAGTAAACATGCACAAACTACACCTCGATTTCTCTGGACTTGATCTGCGCATTAAGTAACTTAAATAATGCTTCTCTTTCTCGTAAAGCATCTTTCTCGTGGCCCTTTTTTCTGTGGCTCTTCCTGGTTAATGTATTGCGTGTTCCTTTCGGTGTGAATTTTCATGAGACGTTGCGGCTTTTTCCGTAAAAGCATTGGAAACGCCTAATTTCCACCTCGCTTTACTTTCATATATTAGTTCTTCTGTCCGATTTTCTTGGCCAAAAGGGCGTAAGTTCCCCATCCGCTCTCCCCTGAAACCCTCGCAGTCAAATCATCCACTCTCTCTCTTCGTTACTCAAAGAGACCGTTCAAAATTCCCTTCTTTCAAAAGCTTACTGGCGAAAGACACAGTATGCTCCTCCCCTTCAGAGTATCTCCGATAAGGATGCTCACAGCGTAACCCCTCAACTTAACCGTGCAAAAGCCTTAGACCCCGAACGAAAAAAAGGGTACGCTACTGCGACGGATTTGACTGCGGTCTTTGCGCCCCAGGAGCATAAAACACTTATTCAAAAAGGCACCACCTCAGAGCTCAACTCAGTCACTTTCCAATGTGTAAATACTATCTACGTGAACAGAAAAACCTTTCAAATAGCGATGAAAACAAAAAAAATGCGGTTGCCAGAACACGCGTGCGGTTGCGCGCGGTCGCAACATCTTCTTCGAATGTCCTTTATAATGAATATAGTCTATACGTGGAGCACGCCGCGTTCTGCAGCGCATTCAGCCTAAGCGAAAGAAGGGGAAGAAAACCTTCTTTGCTTGCCAAGTTAGAGTGATGCAAATCATCCATGATACATGCTAGCAATTCATCCATCGATACTTGTTTCTTTAATATGGCCACTACCGGAACTCTTTGAAAAAAATTTTGGATTGTGCTTTGATTACTTTCAAAACACTAAATACTTGTAAAATCGTTCCAAAAAAAGGTTGAAAGAATTAAGTATTTAGTGTTTTGTAAGTACTCAAAATTGCAGAAAATGTTATCATCAGAACCAAAATCACAAAAAGCTGCAGCGCTTTCAACTGCTATGCTAACTTTGAGCGCTCATAACTCACCAACCACTGAAGATTGATTGAGGGGAACGGTACCAATAAAAAGAGGACAACAAGCTCTTAAGCAAAAGTGCTCTTAGATTTTTGAATTATTTTCATTGTAGGGTCGAAATACGGCTCTCAAGTGGAGGTACCTTCGAATCTTGATGCATCAAGTTTGCGGCGAATGTTAAAAAGTGCTAATCAATACGTTGCTATTTTTCTGTTATAGAATGATATGTGGAGAAGTCAGCTGTTTTTTGGAGGCTTCTAATGTTAGCAGCAAAAAAGACCCCCAGAACGAGGAATCGAACCCGGGCCTGGCAGCCGACAGTCTCACCCACTAGCCACTAAGCCATGAATGACGCGTTTCAACATCGAGATAAGGCGCCCCACAAGCTTTTCTTTTTCTATTCTGAAGCAAGAAATGTTGAAGAAGGAAGATGGGGTTCAGGGTACGGTATTCGGGCTCACGCAACGAATTTAAAGGCCGCTTCAAAAAGTGCTAATCAATACGTTGGTATTTTTCTGTTATAGAATGATCTCTTTGTTTGCCAGGTGAAATCTCTGATAGCGGCTATCATCGAGCAAATCTGAGCGCAACGCATTTTTCTCCTTTTTTCGGGCATTTTTTCCTACTTTATCGTCATTTTTTTCAAACTGAATAGCGTGTTAGGTAGTTGGGGCCATTGCACACTAGGAACACATTTCAAATCAGCTCCTCGCATTCATTTTTGGTTTTTAAGAGAAGAGTTGGCAGAACTTTCTTCACAACCTAAAATATGGAGCTCATTAATGTTCAAACTTCTGAAAGGGAGAAAATATGAGGAAAATGGCCCATGAACTGATTTTCCATGGAATGGAGAGCTGGCAATGTGCGGAATTTGTCATACGGATTCAGTGCGATCCGTGAAGGTGCGATAGAATTTTTCTAACTATGGGTTCGTAATAATGAAGTCTATAAGCTATAATGAAGTCCGAACGATTTTTTGGGATGCTTCCCGAAATCTTCAGAAGCCCATAACCCTGAAGTTATAGAAAAAGGGGGCGTAGCTGCCGCTACCACAAAGCTAACTTGAACTTTCAAAGATTCGATTTCAATTATTCACAAGTATAAACAAATCACTTACGCTTTTATAACTCATGTGGACAATTTCCAAAAATTTCGCGACCCATTCCCACCCCCGCCCTCTCGGTCCTCCAAATATTGGATTCATGATTTACATAGTTACAGGCAACACATTGGCAGGATTCAAGAAACAGCACAGTTGATTTGCTTGTGGGTTTGTTTGGCGAACAAGAAGATTTATTGCTGCGCTAAAGTCGTTTATAACAAGCACTTAAACAAAGTGTCTTCACTGCTATCTTGTTTCAGTCCAGCGGCGCGTGAGAACAATGTTACGTGAAGTTCAAAGCCGATAACACATCTTTGTTGCACTGAAGCGATGAAAGCTATGCTAGAAGTGTCGGTTTGTATCCACATATTGTTCATATAATTAGCTTCCTTTAGACATGTAGTGGAAAACTTTTATGATCATGACTTATAATAACGGGCTAAGGATGTTTACGTGACTTTATGTGTGTGTGTGTGTGTGTGTGTGTGTGTGTGTGTGTGTGTGTGTGTGTGTGTGTGTGTGTGTGTGTGTGTGTGTGTGTGTGTGTGTGTGTGTGTGTGTGTGTGTGTGTGTGTGTGTGTGTGTGTGTGTCTGTTACGAAATTCGTGGAGCGTGTTCCAGCCAGCGTTCTAAGCCCAAATTTTGTATAGCGCATGCCACCTTCATGAAAGTCCAACATGCAAAAGCACGAGTAGATTCGTTGAGTGGATCCCTCAGAAATTGCGCGCCAAACGGGTCCACCTGGCTTCTGTACCGCAAAATTCGGTCCGTATCACCACTTTTTGCAGAATCGTGGATGAGTTTGGTAAGCAAATGTGCAAGCGATGGAGTTTAGCCAGAAAAGTGGTTGAAAGTTTACAACATAACGAAAACGGCGCCAAAACGAATTGGTTGTGTAAATGGTGAATTTGCCAAGGTTCTAGCTAAGCGTTTGAGAAGATTTTCGCACAGAGATGTAGCTCACGGTTATCATTACCTTTATGGCGACTTGCAGGTTATGACAAGTCCAAAAACCTATTCAAATTTGCGTTTGTCTTCCTGCAAAAAGTTTCATCCACGCGAAATCACTGATCTCACGTGAAAAGACTTTCTAAATGAGTGGTTGTTTACATTTTATTCGTGGTAGTCGGCATAGCGCGGTGAGTTCCAGTGCCACGATTTTACGAGAAAGTAAGGCACATAGATAGTAGAGCAAGTGCGAACCTCTGCGAAGCAGAGGTGACGCACTGGTATAAATATAATCGGGCTACTTCTGATACTTTCGATCTAGCTTTGATAGCACCTTATTACCATCTGTGTCACTCTTGGACAAGCGCAAAAGCGCAGTGCTGCGTAGGATTCGTAGTACTGCATCGGTACTATTCTTGGAAATCACCCTTTTTCCAACACCGTTTACTGGGAATCACCTCATTCCAATCTGTGCTTACTCTTCGTCCCTTCAACTCGACTTTCATTGAGGAAGTTTGGCAGCGGTAGTATGACATAGTAGTACCAAGACTATAGACGCTTGCTACTGCTCCACAGTTTTAGATAGTTTGAGATGAACTTATCTCTTACGACTTTGTGAATTGAAAACTATCTAAAGAAGGTAATGCACGCAGGCGCCGCAACATCGCGTTGTTACGCTGTTTTTCACGGAGGCCCCGGTAGTAGTATGATATCTTGTGCACATTTTTCGCAAGTAGAAAAGAAAGAGCGAAATAAAGCCAGTTTGAAAATTGAAGCAACTGCTCTAACACAGCTCGCATTCTGTCAAAGAAAGAAGTTTACTTCACAATTCTAACGAATTTCTTGTTCGTACATATCTGGTCATAGACTAGGCGGAACATTGCAGATGTTTTGACGTCAACTAACTTATTGAACCTCTCTTCAAAAGCCTTGGTTCCATACTTTCTAGCTAACAAAAACTACGTTTCGCGGCTCGCGATCGACCGTTCCGCGATAACGTTTGGCCGGGAGCACCGTTGACGGCTCTATTCGGTGGCAACCGTTGCGTTCTAGCGCCTGCAACTGTTTGCCGGACCATTAGCGGCACGTTTCATAATCCGGATTTTCGATTTTTTGATATCGGCACATTTTTGACATCGTCAATTATGTATGTTGCATCTCAGCGTCTGGCTCGAATGCAGATTGATGGACCCGCAAGGGCTCAAATATGATATTGTCGTAACGCTGAACGCGCAGGACAGATTGTATAGTTGGATATGTAGCTGTCAAATGGAAATATCCGCGCGATAATGTTGGCTGCCGTACTGCCTCATCGGCGCGCGGTAGACTGGGGAGGAGGGAGGGGTAAGTCTTATTGAAGGCAAAGGAGTAATGAGTGTGCGAGGAGATTTTGAGTGTGTGTTATATCACTAGCCCGGGGCAATGTTGAAGTCCATTGTCACAATCGTTAATATTTTGTAGCCTGTTTCAAGATAATATCAGCTGAATGTTTTCATATTTTAGAGTTTTCTTTGGAGTGCGCGAGGAGGAGCGCCTCGCAACTGCGAAAGTACTATGGGGAGGCATGTGTGTTACACAGCCACCCACTAGGTAAGGGGAGAGCCCACCGAAACGCAACAGTATAGCTTCAATATCCGCTCAATCTAATTCAAGCGGGGAATACTCACTCCATAAGACAAAACAATGTTGTTTTAATGTTTTTATTTGTAGAGACTGTAACGAAGTGCAACTGTGAAGCAAAAATTATCTTTGCCCAGGAAATTATTGCCTGGTCGCATCCGTCACATGAGTAAAGGGAAATGGGAGAGCATCTAATCTCAATTCTACTCAAGTAAAGAGGGTTGAACATCAAAAGATGCGAAACTCTGGAGAACTGTCTAAGAAGGAGGAGTAACAGTAGACACGAGAAGAAAGGGTGGAACACCTGTGCTGGCATACAAGTATTAGAGAGATTGAGGAAGGAAGAGGGGCAGGAAGAATTTTAAGACAAACCATTTGAAGCAGCTTCACTACTAATACAGTGAAGCACTTTAGTGCGACACCTCTTTTAGATGTGGACGTCTGAGACGCTGTTAGGACTCCCTTAGCGGCCCTTACTCCTTTTGAGCAAGCACTAATAGACAGAGGAAGCTTATCCCAGAAAAAAACTAACAACTATGATGTGTGTAGCCTAAAATCGTGAAAACTGCCCAGCAAATAAAGGAAATTCGTCTTCTTCCATGATGGTTGGCAGAGGTATTATGTGGGAGCAAAGCGAGGAGAGTGTCGATCTGGAAACAAAAACATAGATAACAATCTTTTCTACGACTAATGATTACTTCTTGTGATTTTCATTTTTTCATTAGCTCAATTCTGTGAAGCATGAAAGCCAGTAAGCACTGATCATTACTTCAACAATAAGTCTTAAATTTCTCGGGACTATCTCGCAATCAAAAATCTATGCTTGAGAAAAAAAATCTATTTATGTTGTCTCCGTCTTTCTTCTAACCAAATTGCATCGAAACTCACTTGATAGACATCGCGCATGATGCTATTACAAATGCCGTCTAGCTTGATATTTTCTTTGCGTTGCCATTTGGTTTCCCATCTCTTTTCATTCCTCCATCCCTTTGGACATGCATTTTTGACTATGTTTGCTTGGTTCACTCATACTTATTTACATTATAGTAGGTTTTCTGCATCTAGCATCGGATGTTTCACCTATCGCTTATCATGTTGGTACGCTTTACTGCTTAGGCTAAGCGAACGAAAAGGATTGCGTTGTAGGAAAGATTACGCAAGCAATTTTTTGCTGGCTAAGAAACTTTTGTACCTATAATCGAAACTTTTCAATTAATTCAATTGTTTAGCCATAACTATGTAGGAACTTCTAAGCTTTGGTGACTACAGACATCCTCAGAAGGTATTCTTCTTATTAGAATGGCATGGTTTGCTCCGGCTACAGTTGTCCCTTGACAATTTCCAAACGTCCTGAGACAATTGTTTAGAGTTCCTTCATACTAAGCCGCAAGACGCAGCAGCCTGCCGCAGCACGCGGCGGCACGCCGCAGCAGTCGCAGTAAAATTATAAGCTCGCTCGCTATGAAGGAACACTCCTGGAGAACACGAACGTGCAGCAAATGTAGATATATAGAATATACATCCATAACCGGCGAAGAAGTGCTGCCGTGAGCGTATATTTGCACTGCGACTGCAGCGGTGCACGCCGCAGGAGCATATTGTAGCTTATAAATTTATACTTCTTTCTGATTCTGTTGGTTCACTCCCTAATGTATGTGGATGACGGTGTAAGACACATATTTGTGTTTGCTGGTTTGCTTTCTACATTGCTAATTATAAGATGGAAAATTTCAAAAGTCAAAAGGGATTTCGTTTTAGAAGACTGTGAGCGACACATACCGGGCCCTGATTCCGATGCTATCTTTACGTCACAGAAGTGTCAATTCTCTTTAGAGGTGCATAGCTCGTGCATAGCTTAGCTATCACGTTTTTTTATCGAGAGCAAATTCATTATCTTAAAATTAGGGGCAATTATTTCTGTACACGTGACGTGTCACATAAACAAATAAGGCTTTTTGTAATTCTCAAAGCTGTCATGTAGTCAGCGATCACCGCTTGGCATCGCACATATATCCAGTGGCGATCTCAGGATTTCCTTCCGGGGGGGGGGCGGCAAAAATTTTTTCAAATGAAGGTGCGTGGCGTTAACCACGCACTCCGAAAATTTTTCAAGGGTGCTTTTCAAATTTTTGCGCCAAATGTGGTTTTACATATTGGTATTTCTCGATGCTACATATGCAAACGAAATGTCTGATAAACAGATGACTGCAAGTTTTTGAACACAAAATATCCATGTGCTCATCTCGCTGCTGAAAACGTAGCGTTCACAATAGCAAATCGCAAATACTCAGATGCCGATTTCCATGTCTTATTTGCAGTTTCGAAAAAAAAAACGACATCGATTAGTTAGGAAACTTGAAAATTATTATATTTCCATTCCCAACTTTGAAGGTTATTGTTCCGCAGGAGTGTTGAAGTCTTGCGGCACACGCTTCCGTATATCTCCGTATACCATACTTGCATGAAAGTTTTGCTTGAACTTTCCAAATAAAGCGAATCTTCGTACGACAATGTTTACAGCTAAATGGGTAGGCAGAGAACGCACAATCGAAAGGAGATGGTATGAGTACGATATTGAAAATCCTGAAAAATTAAGTGTTCACCGTTTTCGTTGTTTTTTCCTTTCTTCGTAGATTTGGGCCAGACAAGGTTTCGCAGCTTCCACTTGTTCTGAAAGTATCGTTATGGGATTATTATCTGCTGAAAACCGACGACTACTTTTCACATCTCAAATCAGACAAAGTGCTTTGAGACTTTTCACAGTTGCTACGTGAACACAAACATAATCTTACACTGAACGTTGCTAGATATGGTAGGCATGACAGCAATATTATGTAATAGAATTACTTGAGCTACTAATCAACTTCATAACCCAGTCCGTCCACAGTAAAGTGTACTTAAATGTTTACTCGCAGCTACTCAAACAATCGGATCGGGAAGTTTCGCGGGTGCTTGTCCGACCACCAATCATCCATGCCGCGAGCTGCCCGGTAAACCCATATATTAGACCTGATAAGTGACCGCGGCACATCCTGTAAGTGCCCGTTGGGCGCCTATAGTTGACCCGATTAGCATGCTTGTAAGACCTAAAGAGTGAAAAACTGTTTAATCTGTCTTTCAGAATGACGACTTGAGTGCAAACTGAGCAACTCGTTAGCTCATCTGTCGACATCATCTATTATCGTCGATAATGGTCAACTGACTGCTAGAATTTATCTCATAATCATGAAAACTCGATTCTGTCAAACAGGACCAAATCTTAGGTGATACCCAACCTTTTAAACATTTAGGGTGGCCCCAACGCTGCGGCGTACCTCACGAGGGTTGCGCCTTATCCTACAGTGTGTAAGAAGTGCGGCCTTTGATAAGGCCCGCGGCCCGCCGAGTGAGGTGGTTGGGCCGCGACCCTCCCGATAATCTCTTCCCAATTTCAATTTTGGCCGCGGCGTTCTCGGTAAAATATACATGGGCCGCGGCGTGCGGGGCTGAAATTTCAAGAGCCGCGGCGCTCCATGTAACACGCTTTGAGGCCGCGAACTTTCCGATGCAATTGTCTGAGTATGTATCCTTCGGGAAGCGAATGACAATTCCAAACAGGATAAACACTCGCTCAGAAGCTTACTTGCAAAAAGATAGCTTTCCTGCCATTGCCCAACATATCAGGAATAATTATTTCATAGATAGTGATGAAATAAAAGATTGAAAGAGTTTGAGAGAATTGCTATTTCTAGCCTTTCGAACATATACAATGCCAAAGAGTGAGCAGAGCTACTTTCCATCAAGTCGCGGTTGAAAAATGCTGCTTGGGATTGAGGTGTATGGGTTCTCAGCGGCAAATTCGGAAGTTGCTATCAAGTCTACAATGCAGAGGAGTTGAAATTTCGAAATGTGATACACAAATGTGAGGAATCTTTATAGTTTAGGTTTAAAAAGTATTGACCGTGTGTCGTCAGGAGAAATAGGAGCAATATTCAAAACAGAACAACTCAAAATAAAGACGCACCAAGAAGAATTTTCACGTGGACTCCATTTGTTCGTGAACATGAGTTTTGAAAAATGACTCACTTCTTTTGCTGACAAGGTTTTTTAGCTCAACAATAAAGCTCTTTCTCTTCATCAACATAAAAAAATATTGAGTACAGATCCTTGACTGAATGCTCAGCAAATTTTCAGTATGCTGTAGATGCGACGGTGCATTCATCGAAAATGAGACGTCTTCGAAGGCGGATCCACGACACCGTTCCGAATGACATTTGCGATTGAAACCGCTGTGACACATCCATAGCAAAAACAGTGAAATAAAATATCATGAAATGATGGCAGCGATTTAGTCGGAGTTTGGATATCGAATGGTACAAGCAATAATAGATTAATAACTAAGACTTGAAATTTGTAGATTCCAAATATCTGAAATTTTAAGTATTTAAACTTCTGGATCTACCACTTTTTGCGCACATGATCACATCCCAAGATGAAGAACGGTTGAGTACTGATCATCATCTTAACTTCAAAAAAATTTCAAAAAAAGATCTCATCTGTTTTCAACCAGGTGAAACATCACCAGCGACCTAAGGCCAATCAATTTCATTTGTATCATTGGTTGAGCATTTGTCTTTGTGACAGCAAGTGAGGACGAAAAGGATAAAGAAATGCAGCAGTTTTGCGGCATTCTGCTCTCATAAAAGATTAAGAAAATGTTAGTTTCGAGTGATATTGCAACGTCGTTCAAATAAAATTTTGGTGGTGCAATAAATAGCGTATTAAATGTTTGGTTTTGAATTGCAAACAAGGGAAAGGAAGGATGCTGATGAAGATGACGGATTTCTCAACATCATTTACTATCAAATAGTTCAAAACCTTTGTTGTTTTGTGACTGTACAATTGTCTTGTTATAGTCTTGAAGAGTTTTGACAGGCCTCCGGGATTAATCCATTGACGACGATGTGTACCACCGTTGGCCTATACCCCTTGCAAAATCATATACTTCCTAAGTCAGTACTTTTTCCACAGTTCAGTGATTTTTCCAATTGTTTGCATCCTTGGAACCTGTAGACTTCGTCGTCTAAGAATATGGTTGTAGTTGTTTACAAAACAACATTACATTTCGTAAATAATCACAAAACTTTCCCAAGCCGGAAGCGTTTTGCAAAATCGCGCCCTCCCTCAGCGCCGCCGCGCAAAATTAGGAGTCGTCGTCAATGGGTTAATCAATTATCTAAAAAGAGCATGCTATCGTTTACTGATGCGCTTATCTTTTCTCAATCTTTGATTAGAGTTGTAATAGCAAGATGCAACTGTGCTTTATTTTTATTTCACAGCTAGTAAGGACAGACGATTCACTTCACATTCAAAGCTTACAAAGCTGATACCAATGTCAAACGACAATTCACTCTACCGAGCAACTTATGAAATATGGAGAGCTGAATTACTTTGTGATCCATCCCGTGATCCGTTCCAGATTATCTTGATTTAAGACATGCATACTCACTTCTCATGTCATGAATTGGTAAAAACTTACAGTGGAAGCCATATGACTCGAAGAGGCGTTTTCCAATAAAGTGTATACCACAATATGCTTTCTTCTTGAAGTGCTTATTGTAAATCACCTCCCTTTCGTATATGCTAAAAGGTTCAGATGTCATAGGCATCTATATGGACTCAAACGGGATCAATTCATACTTGCTTATTAGACCAATGTAGCAAAGTAATAGCATTTTCGCCATTCACTTTGTTTTTTTTTGTATCCGAGAGGTAATGTTCATAGCTATAGAGCAAATTCGCATCTGCCGGCGAGTTCAGGTCATATGAGCAGTGAATAAACTGATCAGGAAACAGAAAAATGGCTTCAATTTTGCATAGTAAACCGTTTACCATATACGGGGTCATTTGCAATCAACGATCAAAAACCTCACAGATGATTTAACACTTACTCGAAAAGCCACTTTAAGTCAAATGCCTTCTCTCGTTGACCATTAGAGATTTTAGGGACACCGCAAAACTCCTACAAAATATTGCATCAACACGTTGGCGACAGCGGGCAATGGTGCGCGGCAGGCAGTCTGTCTATGTGGATGCGTGTCCATGTGGATGACAATGGTGCGCGCCGGCCTTGATCTCAATACTATTTGTCCAATCTCTCCGTTTGTGCTCATGTGATCAACTTGTGCCCGGTTGTACTTTGTATAACTAGCCCCGCCCCTTTTGGCAGACTCCGCCCACTCCGATGCCCATTACAAAATCTCCCTCTTCTGCACAAACATGGAAGTAGTCGTGAATGAACAGACCTCAAGCAACTTTACACCACGCCCCTCCCTCCGTTATGCAAATTCCGTGCATTTCCCAAAATTAGCGGAATTTGCATGAGCTCTTAAAATTTGCACCGGATCGAGTGGACGGAGCTTGCACATTTTATATTTTACTAGCTGGCCTACCCGGCTCCGCCGTATCCGGACCAAACTTGGCACACATACACTTCGGGCCCTGGCGGGTGTCACAGTCCACTTTTCGTTATCGATCGATGTCGATTTTACCGATTTTTATCGATTTTTTTGCAGAGTTCACCTACAGGGCTAGGAGTTGGCACAGGGGGGAAGTGAGCATGGGGATTCCGAATACAATATTAGTTTTCAAGATCGTCCATTACTTTTATCGATTTTATTGATTTTTTGCAAAGTTTGAGCTACGGGGCTGGAATTTGGCACAGGGGTGTAATCGAGCATGCTGATCACCCTTCTTGGGGATGATCAGCATGCTCGATTACCCCCCTGTGCCAACTCCCAGCCCCCTAGCTCAAACTTTGCAAAAAAATCGATAAAATCGATAAAAGTTATCGATAATCCTGAAAACCAATATTGTATTCGGAATCCCCATGCTCGATTACCCCCCTGTGCCAACCCCCAGCCCCGTAGCTCAAACTTTGCAAAAAAATCGATAAAATCGATAAAAGTAATCGATAATCCTGAAAACCAATATTGTATTCGGAATCCCCATGCTCGATTACCCCCCTGTGCCAACTCCCAGCCCCGTAGGTGAACTCAGCAAAAAAATCGATAAAAATCGATAAAATCGATATCGATCGATGACGAAAAGTAGCCTATGACACCCGCCGGGGTCCGAAGTGTATGTGTGCCAAGTTTGGTCCGGATCGGTTCAGAAATGGAATTTTCTATTCGGAACATACGTACACACAGACAGACAGACATACGTACAAACAGACATTCAGCTTTATATATAAGATACATAGATGCATGATTGCCTACATATAGCCAGGCGTGAAAATGCACGGAAATGTGCCGTCCACAGGGGCAGACGATAGAAAAATGGCTTGTCGTCAACGTGTCAAGATTCTTCTATCTTCCATCTCCATTCGTCTTCCAGATGACTCATTTTGTTCATACATTGCTAAGTTTGAAGAACACACATTCTTGAAGCTTTTATAACTGGTTCCTTCAATTTTTCGATTTTTCGCGCACAGACTACTCGGTTATGAAACGATATTTCTTTCGCTTTTCTGCGCTCATATTTCAGCCCCTGACGTGGCAATGCAACTTTTAGGTTGTCTCATAAGTTTTTCCAATTTTGAATTTTCAATGCAATAAGTCCCACACTTCCAAGTTCTGATTAGAGTGCAGGGCACCATTGCTAGAGCAAAGCAAGCTCTATAATATGGCGTGTATGTGCTTACACCAGCTTCAGCACATTACGAATTAGAAGCCAAAATCTAAACACCTTCGGATGCCCGATAATTGAAAATTTTTTATATCTTTAAAGAAGACTCATCAAATTCTAAACTTATTCACGCATATACATTTCACATAAGACATTCGTATGTGCCGTTGCTTTGTTTGTTTCTGTGCTAGAAACCGAGGAAACTGAATTTTTCAAGCTTTTAAAAAGGCGATGCTGCACTGTTCTCACATAAGTAGTATACAACAGACCTTCTGAAATACATCAGTAAATTTTCAGCTCCCTAGAAGCGTTAGTTCCCGAGAAATATTGAATACAATATAAAATACCCTAGCAAGTTGAGCTAAATTCAGTATTTTTCGAGAACTAGCGTATCCAGGAATCCAAAAATTTACCGATGTATTCCTGATCACCTGTAGCATACACCTACTTCTGTGAGAACAGTGCAGCATCGCTTTTTTGAAAGCTTGAAAATTTCAGTCTTCTAGGTTTCTAGCACAGAGGCAAACACAGCAACGGCATATGTGAATGTCTTATGTTACGTGTATATGCGTGAGTAAGTTTAGGATCTGACAAGTCTTCTTTGGACACGATATAAAAAATTTTCAATTTTTCGAGCATACGGAAGTTGTCAGATTTTGGCTTCCAGTTCGTGATGTTCTGAAGCTGGTGTAAGCCCATACACACCACCTTATAGAGCTCGCTTTGCTCTATCTAACGGTATCCTGCATTCTAATCAGAATTGAGAATTATGTGATTTATCGCGGCAGAAAGCCAAAATTGAAAAAACTTATGAGACAACCTAATATTATTTTGACTAGGAAAAGAAAATGAATAATTTGAGTTTATCCCCAAAAAGAAGCAATTTCAAGCGACAGTAAAGATGTTGTACATCATCTCGGATTGCTCTGAAATGTGCGCAGGTTGAATTTTCAGCGGATATAAACATTCATTTATTTTGTGTGGGCTCGAATTTGTACACCACTGTGATAAAAGCAACATTGTCAGCGTCGTAGTACGTAGCAGCACGAGCAGCAAAAAAAATGACCTTCCTACTGGAAATTAAGGTACCACTGTAAACTTGCAGCAGGACGCTTGTAATTTTTGTCTTATGATCTATTTCAAAATACGTGCTAAAGAATTCTTTTTTTTCAGTATTTTGGTAGAACCTTCCTTTCCAACGTAGGCACAGAAATACGTCGCAAATACTAAACTCACCATGGATCAAATTACATTACTATAGGAACATGAAGTACTGAAACTGCCGCCAAACTTTTCCAAGTTTAACGACTTGTATCAATGCACTGTGTCATATGCAAGAAAAACCCTCGATAGCCGCAGAAGTACACCTTAGGACTGGGACGAATTATGGACTGCTATTTTTTACGACTTATTAATGTCGAAAAATTGATGAGTCGTCATTGAGCTGGGCTGCTTGCAGTGAGACGGCTTGTGAACCAAGAGCTTATGAAAGCAATGCAAATCGGAAGTTTCAGAGCCATTGCTGTATCAGGTATTGCTCGAATTTTATATAGATTGCAATTACTTTTCAGACGCTGAACAGC